TTTTTTTTTTTTTTTTTTTTTTTTTCCTTCGGCTGTTGTTGCTGCTGGGGTTATTGTTGGGGAAGTGGGAGGCTCATTTGCGAGCTGGTTGCCCAGCTGCAGGCCACGGCTCTACCCCGACATCCCTCCAAATGCACTCCCGCTAAAGACCAGCTATTTTTTGGAGGATCACCCTCGGCACTCCGCACACGCACCCCTTTCCCCTCTAAATTCACGGCAATGGTGAGCGGCGGCCCTCTCCCCTATCCTCCTTTTCCCGTGAGATGCTTTCCACGCCACGCGGGGCGGGTGTTCGCCGGCGCCACCTGAGGCTCGTCCCGAGCTGCTCCCCACGCACCCTGTCTGTCTGTCTGTCTCCCCGTGCAGAGCTCCGGCAACGCGTCCTACCGATGCTCCATGTCGTCCTCCGCCGATTTCTCCGACGAGGAGGACTTCAGCCAGAGATCGGGGACGGTGTCGCCGGCGCCGGGGGACACGCTGCCCTGGAACCTGCCCAAACACGAGCGGTCCAAGCGGAAGATCCAGGGCGGCTCGGTGCTGGACCCCGCCGAGCGGGCCGTACTGCGCATCGCCGGTAAGGCGCGGTCGGGGGTGGCCGGGCAGGGGGCGGCCGGGGGCCAGAGGGACCCCCTTCCCTTCTCCTTCAGAGCGCGGCCCCGCCGGGCAGTGACTAAGCTCTTTGGCCGCCTTTTGCGACTGGGTGAACTGATGCGTGTGGAAGGCGAGCCGAAACACGCGCAGGTGCGCCCATTAAACTTTCATGCGAGAAGGCATCAGCGGCTGGGGGCTGCAGCCGCGGCGGGGGGCGGTTCAGCGGGGCCGGCGCTTTTTTCGGCCCAAAAGGCCGAGGCAGCCCCGGCCGCCCCGGGTGGAAGCGGCGCGGGACCGCCCGCAGCGCGGGGAGAGGCCGCGGCGGCCGATGATGCTCCGCCGGGGGCGGAGGACCAGATGCCGGTCTTTGTCCGCTCGGGGCCAGAGCTGCGCTCGGGGGGGACGGGGATCGAAACGGAGCCGCCTCAGTGTGCCTCCAGAGGCTCTGGTCGCGGCCCGGCAACAATTGATGTCGAAAATAGGGCGGAGGTCCGCATCACCCTGGCGAAAGCTGGAAAACGCCTGAAAATGAATCGCAGAAAGATGCGGCGGTCCTCAGTGCTCCCCGGGGACACCGCTGTTGTTCTCCCCAGCCACCCCGGTTATATATGCTCCTCCGTGGGTCCCTCCCGGGACACCATTTCCCAGGGTCCCCCATCCTGGCGGCGCTGTTAGCGGGGGCAGCGCTGCGGAGCCGGGCTCCCACCAGCCGCAGGATGCGGCCGCGAGTGGGGGGGTTGCGGAGGCGGCCCGGCCGCCCCCCGCGGGCAGGGTGCGGAGGCCGGGGTCCGGCGGGCCGGGGGCAGGTCAGCAGGGACCGCACCGGAGCGAGCCCGGCGGCGGGGTCAGGCCGGGGGCGGCGGGGGGGGACGCAGATGCGGCGGTGACACCTGCGGCGGTGCCGCGCCCGCCCCGCCCCTCCGCCGGGACTGCGGGGCTCCCTTCCCCGCTGCTTGCCGGCTCGGGGTCCCTCCCCGCTCGGTCCCTGCCCGCCGGCGCGCTGTCCCCGCCGGCCCCGTCAGTGCCGCAGGCGTCGCGTCCCCGCCCCGGCAGCCGCCACCCTCCTCGTGGCGGGGGAGGCGGGGGCGGGCCGGAGGCCGCGGCGGAGCTCTCCGGCCCCGCGGGCGGTGCCTCGGCCATGGGGCTGGAGCCGGGGTCTGCGGCGGGGAGGCGGTGGCCGCCGGGCTGGTGCCGCCCCCTCCGCGCTCCGAGGGGCGGCTACCGAAACCCGAGCGGCGGCGGGGGCGTTTCCTCGGCCGGGCTGGCGGCGCCTCCCCCCGCCCGCCCCCCGCAGGCTGCTCTCGGGGCTTTGCTTGTGCCGCCCCCGAGGCCGCCGGCCGCCCGGAGCCGCACAGGCGGGCAGGGCTGGGCTAGCTCCCGGCCATGGCTGGCTACCTCTCCCCCGGCGCGTATTTCTACACCGAGGAGCAGGAGTACCTGCAAGCCTATGAGGATGTCCTAGAGAGATACAAAGGTAGGGCAGCGCTCCCCGCGCCGTGCCGCCGCGCCCGCCCGGCCGCTCGCCCCGCCGGGTGTGGCGACTGCGGAGCCGGGAGGCGCTGGCAGCCAGGTGGGGCAGATCGGTGGCCCCGCGTCCCTGCGAGGGTCGGTCTGGGGGGAAAGGACGTGGGCGGCTTGTGCGATAGCTATAAATACCGTGTCACCTCAGCAGTGTGTGACAGGCGCTCTCGTGTGTTTAAAAGTCGCTTTTTCGAGTGCAGTGCGGACACAGGGATTTGTGTCTCGATATGCATTCGTATTTAAAGCTTCGGTTTGTTTTTACCTATTTATTTATTTGGGTTTTTTTCCTTTTTTGGTTTTTTTTTTGGGCTAGGGGAAAGTATTAGCTTAGTTCGTGATTTTTTTAATCGAATACAGAAAAATAAGGAAAAAGGCATTTATCATGATGAAGATGCACACAGCTAAATTAATCTTGCTAGAAATGTACATTGCATTGATTTCTTAAGCATGTCGGGATGGAAGGGATGGTTTAGATGATTCATTGCTGTTTTTCAGTACATTTGCTAGCACTAAATCTGAAGAAGCTTATCAAAAGTGTTAGAGCTCTGATTTTAATCCAAGTGCGAAAGGGATGGAGTTAACTGTTCACACTGAACCTTTATCCCTGAAATAGTTTTTACAGCATGTCACAGCATATGCTGACATTTGCAGTGCTGAGTGCTTTTGTGATGTTAGGAAATAAGATTTCTGAAGTTTTTCAGCTGTATGTCTTCAGTCAGTCCTGAAGATTTTTGTTAAATGGTTTCCACTGATGGGGATGGGAGTGGCATAGTTTAAGACAGCTTGATTTGAGGATACTGATAATTGATTTTATTTATTCTGTATTGTTAGTAGCAATATTTTGAAAAATAAACCCTCAACAGATGGTTATTCTGACTATGAGAACTTGTTGGGTCTCAGTGTACTTTATACTGGTATCACTCGCAATTTCATGTGTCATTAGCAGTATTGACTAATGACTCCTTTGTGTCTGTTGCCCATTGTGTCAATGCAGCAATGGAGCATGTGCACCATTTCTGTATTGGAATGTATTAGTGCATTTTAGTAGAGAAATAATTACCATTTCATGATTGCCATCATCTTCAAAAGTACATCTTTATTCCATTCTCTCCCTCAATTTATATGCAGCTGATCTGATTTTTTGCGAAATTTTTGAGCTAGTAGACTGTTTACTTTGTAAATAAACACTGAGAAAGCTTGTCCTTCTGCTTTGGATCACCTTTTATTTCCTGCTAGAATTAGGTTTAATAAGGTTCCTTCTCATACCAATTACTTGCTTAAAAACCTGGGAAAGAGATTAGGCCCAATTTCCCCTATTTCAATGGGAGTTTTATCAGCAAAGGGACTGAGAGGTTTGGTTTTTGTATGTTGGGGAACAATAGGATTTTTAATTAAATAAACTCCGAAAACTAATTTACATCTCTGTAAGAAATAAAGCACTTTCTGAAAGTATTTGAGTATATCTCATTGTGGGGGCAACACAGAGTCCATTCATATGCTATTTTCAGTGATTCCCAAATCCTGAAATTATTTGGAAGGATATAATGTCTGTTGTCTTAGTTTTTAGTGCCATAATTTGTATATTGGTATGCTGTGTTTTACTGCTCAAGGTAGACATTATTCAGCCATTTGGAGCAAAGGTCAAGGCTTGGACTTGTTTTAATTAAGATATATTGGAAACCTGGAAAACACATTACTTTCTAAAATATGTTTTCAAGCCAGTCATGATTTCTCATTTGAGTCCCAGTAGCATGACTTCACTACAGTGATTGTTGTTCTGATGACTTGCTATGGGAGCTGATCTAATCAGAAAAGAATTGCTACAATATAGGCTTTGAAGAGGGAGTGCCTTTTCTCTGAATTTCTCCGTTTTGTAAACACCTCCTTTAGTAAATTTCTTACTCAAAGGTGAACTACGTTGGCTTTATAAGACGAGCTTCAATCTATAATTTTCATGCTGATTGTTCTTTTTTCTTTTTTTTTCCTTTTTACTGTCTGCAGAATGCTTCATACTCATCTAGGCCATTATCAGGGTGCCAATTTATCTATGTCCCAGCTGTTGAGTACTGTAACTAGCAGAGTCAGCTGTACAAAATTCATTGCCTGTCTTGGAAGGCTTGGGATCGTATGATGCCGCATCATTAAGATGTACAGGCAGTTTCATTTAGGAAGATAAAATCTGACCTTTTTAAACATAGAAAAGTGAAATTTACTCTTCCTCTGTTTCTGTTGCCAAAGTAGGCTGTGGATCTTGAAGATCACGCAAGACCAAGTACCTTGTTGTTTTACAGGTTTATTCTTTGCAAAGCCAGATATTTGTGTGTCTCCAAATTCTGTCTGCTGATCATGTCTCTGGCTGTGGCAGTAAATAATTAGGCAACTGTTTGCTAAATCTGACATACCACAGAAGTGCTGTTTGCTATGGGAGAAGAGAGTGTTGTTTTCTAATCCCTGGTCAACTCAGTAGCTGGCTGTCAATTTTTTATTTTTTTTCTTGATTAGTGATTATTTGGCAGTATTTCTAAAGCATTTTGATGGAAAAAAAAAAGTCATATTATCTCAGATGTTATAGAAATCAGGTTGAATCCAGCTACTTATTCAGGGGAAAAAACCTGCTTCTTTGTTTGTAGCACCTCTAAGAATTCAAAGGCAAACCCTTTATTATGAACATGGCAATAAAACATGTAGTATAGTTTATCTGAAGTATTTGACATATTTCACATCTTGTTTGTGGCTGAATAGTAACATGAGACATCGTACAAATATTTGTTAATATAACTAAAGATTCAACTTTTGCTCAAAAACTGTATGTGAGTTATCTGGGAGGTTGTAAAGGACTTCAAAATTATTCTTGGTACTCTGTAAGTTACCTCGCGGTTGCCTGGGAACAAAATGTAATAAAATTGTTAGCTGTAGCCTTTTTGATAAATAAAATGTCCAATAGTATTTAGTATACTTTTGATTTTTAAAACATTAAAATGCCACCTCTGTCATATGGCATAGGAATCCATTGTTCCGTGCCGTTATTATTTGAGCATTAAATATCTGAAGATTATGATTTTAAGCTGTAAATGCAGTATGCTTATTATATTTCCTCTGCTATAAATCTGAAGTAATAAACTGAGAATCAAGTTTCTATATATGAATATATTATCCCTCTGAAATGGTCACTCTTTAAAGTATTTTTCAGTTCAGGTAGTAAATTTTTATTTGAATAACAGTTGCCACAACCCTTTTCTGAAAGGTTTTGAACAACTGTGTAACTTGGTTGTCTCCATTTTGACATCATTTTTGATATGGGTGCATCTGTTAATGACAGCGTGATTGCAGTATCTGGAAAAGAGCTAATTCATGGAGTTAAGTGTTGAATAATTCATAGTTATTCAACAACATTCTTTAACAATGTAAGCCCTTAAAGTTTGAAATATATAGGGTTATCCTGGGCTGTGCAGAGCTTTTAATGCTGTAGATTTATACATATACATCTACAGGAAACAGATCTATTAGAAAATTCAGCTTGACATGACTGCCCATGAAAAATTCAGTCTTGCAGTTCAGGGACTGCACTAAATTGTTGCTAGAGCTAGGAAAGGTGTCACATGAATATTTTGTTTGGAATGGGTGCCTGATTAGTGCTTCTCTGGGTACTTTGGACTTGCTGCATAGCTCTTGTGTCTGTAGGAAGGAGGGGTAAATCTGGGGCTGGGGACAGCAAAACTCAGATCAGATTGTTAAACTTTGGTGCATTCTGTTTCACTGTTGGCACTGCCAATGTGTAATACTACACATTCAGCTGAAGCCCAGCAAACAGCTCTGGTTCTGTATTCTGAGAACAAAGACACTGGAGATGGACCAGAGCTAGCAGGTCATCTGATGCATTTTGTTGCCTGTGTAGACAATGTAATTTGTTCTAATGATTGATTGAGGGTAGTGTCAAGTAAAGCTGTTCTGACACTGGGTACAGGTTTTGAATTAAGGTAGAAACAATAGATGCCTGTTGTCCAGCTCCTTTGAGCTGACTTCAAGAAGGGAGCATTTGCACAGAATGGTTTTTATACATCTGAAAATGAATTCCTGCTGCATTTGAGGCATTTGGAGACTCCTAAATGTGTTAGGTGTCAGATTTAGTCCAGGGATATTTTTCTTCTGAGATGTCTTCATAGGGCAAAGACAGTAGGGGCCATGATAGGTGCTTCTGGCTCTGTAATATGCATTTCCTCATTTATACTTTGAAGTTGGGGACCTGAATTTTTAGTCAGCAGAAATCTTGCTATTATGGGATCTCAGCTGTGAACTAATTGGATGCTTCAGGGTTCTGATTTTGAATGCAGAAGGAAATCCTGAAGTGAGTAATTGATTAGGTAGTTTCCACTGTGGGTGGTTTTCTTTGACCTCTTTTCAGGTGCTGGTAGTATCTAGCCTTGGGCCTGATATTATTATTATTGTTATTATTATTATTATTATTATTATTAGTATTAGTATTAGTATTAGTATTATTATTTAAATAGGAAAGTTGTTTTGTCTGACTAGTGTGGACATGTGGATTATCCAGCTGCAAGTCACCTAATCCTTTGCCACCATGCCAGTGTTCAGCAAGGCAACCTTGTTGTTTCCCGTATTCCCCGCACATTTCCTACAGCAGGTTGTCCTCCTGGGAAGGAAGAATTGTTGCCAACAGAAAATGTCTTCAATTAGGGATGGAAACATTATAGCTTCTGTGCTGTCTGAAGTTGGACTAAATTAATGGGCAGCTTGGGCCACCTAAAATGTAAAACCTATTTCATTTTAAAATGTAAAATCTGTTTCAACATTCCTCCTTATTTAAAGCAGAAGTTCCGACTTTTCAGGGGCTTGGAGATGGGATATTTCCTTGTGTACATTCATCTTAAAGATGAACCAGATGTTGCTGATTTGACTTGTATGAGGTGTTCACTTGAGCTAAAGTGAAGAGGT